CTCTGGCAGGCTTCATAACACGGCATTATGAGTGTGCCAGTATGTCCGCAGCAAAAGCTATCCTCCAGCAATGAATTTAGCGAAGCAGCTGTGGACTTAATGAGAACAATTGGGTTTGAGTCATGCTTGAGTCGACCTTCTGGGCCGTTCCACCTCTGGCCCCCCACATCCTTTTGCAACCTTTTCATTAACTGCTCCCTGCTCTGCGTCTCTCCCAACCAACCGTTTAACTTGAAACCTTTCTTTCTTTTCTCTGTTGTTCCCCTCTTCTGTCTCATGTGTTTTCCGCACCAAGGCTGTGATTAAGTGCCTTAATTATAAAATCTTAATTAGCATTTCTCCTCTCTCCAGGAGTTGGCAAAGAGTGATTCGACCCCCGCCCCTGCAATGCACTGATCGGAACATGTGTGCATTTAGTATGCTCAAACACAGGCATATAAATAATCACATTAAACACTCCGATGCAGCTTACACGACCCCCTGTCTACTGCATTCTCACAGCGCTGCAACGGGCAACAGCTGGCCAGCCCCCGAAACTGCAGCGATTACTCATTTTACAGCTTCCTCCAGTTTCCATGCAGAAAATGAGGGCCGGTCCACGGAGGCACAAGGCGGCTGCAGAGAGACCGGAGGGCTCTGTCGGTGTGCCGTTGGCTGGCAGGCTGCAGCGGGGGTTGTTTTGTAAAAGGCGACAGCGAGCAGCCACAACCACACAAGTGTAAACATAAAAAGCACGCATGCGGATGGACGCACGCAGGCACAGCCACGCTCTGAACTGATGTCCGATCAGCCAGCGGCCCCGCGGCTCACAGAGCGCACTGTCAAAATAAAGCACTCTCGTACTTATGAACCCCTTCCAAAATAGAAAAAGCTGTAATTAATTTTAGCCGTCTGGTCGTTCACAGGAACAGGTTGAGATATGTTATCCTTGTGTATATATCCAGAATTATGCTCTTTTACAGCTTACTCCTGGTGGTCGCACCATCTGGAAAATAGTTTCTCAAACACACGTTCATATTTGCACACGTAAGCCAAGATAGTTCTCCGTATTAGTCTCCCTTATCTAGCTCATTACACTGGCTTGTGAATAGCCGTAGCAAAAGGATATAGAGGATTACAGTCTATTCCTTTAATATGATTAGTCATTCCAATTGCTGCAAGAATTAGATGTGGTGACAGCTTAAACAAAAAGGTGAAAAAAAATAGCTCCAGCTGATATTTGACATGCAGAAACATAATTTCAAATTGGATAAGTTTGTCTTTGAATCTTTGCTTTTGTCTTTTTTTCTCTGTTACGCCTTTTCTCACTCTGTTACTTTCAGCCTGTCACCCTCTCTCCTGATTTCTATTTTACCTGCTTCTCTTGCCTCCTCTGTGGATATTGTGTTGGTAACAGGTGCTGGTGGCGCCTCGAACATAGCGAGGAAAGTGTGATGCTTCTTACAATATCATCAGAGGCCTACTTGGTTGCCAGCGCAGGAGCAGCTGTGAAATGTTCTTAGCCCGCCAAAACTGAAGAAATAAAGGTTATTATGTAATTATGCTGCAGCATATTCTGGTAATAAGATGCTCAAAAAATCCATCTGAAAGCTTAACGCGTTGGAAATCTACTTGTATATTATTGTTGAATCGTTATGGTGCTCTAGAGGGGTCATTTTCAGATCATATTATAGTTTATCTCTCACTGTTATGAGCTTCAAAAAAAGACCACCCTTTTTCAAAATGCACAATGTAATAATGAATCATTCAAACAAAAGAATCCAAAAGAACAGTTTCTGATTCATAGTTTGAAATGTACAGCAATAACAACACAATTGGGCCGCCACAATGTCAATATAACAATAATCACTTTGTCTTCGACTAACACCTTCTGTGTCAAAAGTCACATTTGAGACTACATCAATCCAGAAGGTTAAAAGTGTGCTTTGTTTACTTTTTTTTTTTGACATAAATCATTGCTGCATTGCTGGACCAGCTAGAAGATAACAAGTGCAGACCTTTACAATGCTCATGATTCTCTATTCCCAAAGCCATCCAGCATTACCAATGAATCCTAATAGTTGCATTAAAGATGCAAAGGCGAAGCACATCCAGTCACTTAGGCTTACTTTTCATTAAGAGTACTGGAGAAAACAACCTAATGATGGTGACCGAATGAACTGAGGCAGAGTAATGGAGAGACAGGCAGACAGTTACCGTTGGATAGAAAGCGATAAAACAAAGAGGGCAGAGCAGCGGGGAACTGTTATTATTTCCAAAAATGCCAGCAACAGGGATTCAATACTTGACAGTGATTAGCTGTAAAGTGTTGGACGCCCGAGGAGCTGATGGTCACGCGTGAGATGATCGATAGTGCACCCACAGGGGAGGGGGAATGGTGGGTGCCTCCGGAAGTGTGGGTTGAGAAATGGAGGTTGGCTACTCTCTACAATGCACCTTGCTGCACAATCTCTCATTATAGGTTTCTTCTTATTTTAATGTGCATTTAATGGCTACGCTTGCAAAAGATGCACAACTAGCCAAGCTTTTATTTATAAATGTATATTATGTAGCCCCACTGCTAGTTGCTATTTGTGAACACAGCATTAAAGAGAGAGAGAGCCTGGAATCAAGGCAATAATCCTTTGCCGCTGATTCTTGATTTCTGCTTGATTCAGGGCGGTCATGTTTTAAAGCAAATACTGTATGTATGTGTACGGTGAGGCGGGGAGGCAGTTTCCGTATCTCTGCCAACGCCTTGGCACCTCTCTGCCTGGCTGAAGCAGCCCCGACCCAACATCATGTGGGAGGTGTTGGTTAACAAAACAAACAACACCCCCACCCTGTCCCCTGTGTAACGCCTTGCCTCCCACCATTAACATAACTGCCAGAGCTGCTTTATAATACTTCTGGTTGAAATCATCGCATCGGGCCTGATAACATTATCCTTCTGCTTGGCTGGCCCGGTGCCAGTGTAAAGAGTGGACGGGTGGGGGGGGGGACAGACAAGGTTAATAAAGGAAGATGGGCCGCTGTCTGACTTCTTTACACTGATGCTTATGTTGGATATTTCTTAGGCATGGACTCAATCCCCTCTGTCACAGGAGATGATCCCGACTGAAATGCTTTCAAACAGAGGTATGAAACTCAGCTTTTCCTCTCTGTGCTGTCAAACTGTCGGTGTCTTAGCCGTGTCCCATAATAGTACACCAACAAGTGCTTAAATGCCGATAAGAAAGCAGAGATGTGACTCTCTGCTGCAGCAGAGTGTTGAAGGTTTGTTGGATTATGGATAAGTGAATTGAGATCATACACAATGCAGCATTGACAGAAAACAGAGCAGAACAGATGACACAGCTGACCGGGCGTTTCTAGGGGAAATCCTATGCATAATTTGGTGCCACACTATAAAAAGCATAAACTTCTAGTTATCTTTTTACATCATTAAACATGAAATGTGAGATACAAAAGCACTGACATTTACAGGAAAACAGGGTTTTAGGAGCAAACTGTAGCTCACTGTATCCACCACAGAGTGACAAAATGTCAGAATAGTTTCTGCTGTTCACTCATAATACGACAGGCATGAAAAGAAAAGATGCAAGCAGATAGTCATGGGCAATCCTCTCATCGTATGGACTGAATAAGACTGCGGGACTGAGGGAGAGGCCAAGACAAAGAGAAGACAGAGTGTGTAATGTGTCTCCCTTTACTTTGGCAACCATAACCTTGTAAACTAAAGCCTCACTGCATTCAGATATCAAGGCATGAATTAGAAAAAGACACCACAGAGCCCACAATTGTCTTCACTCTTCATTCTTAAATGTAACAGATAAATGTGCGCTGATGCCAATAAGAAAATTAGAGTTTAGGTTATCTATCATTTCTTGCCTTTTGGTGGTGGTTTTATTTAAACTTGAGAAACCATGAGCATTGATGGTTATTATTTAAAAAATAAATCTCGTATTTGGTAGACATTCTAGACGGTAGACATTCTCTAAAATGTATTTTATATTTCCTCCTAATTCATTGTTCAGAGAATATAATAGAGAAATCAGCACCGGTGTATTGAATGTTGAATATCATATTATTATATGTAATATCCCCAAAACACTATATGGGGGCGGCTCTTCTGCCATGTGAAATATACTGCCAAATAAATTAATAATTTGATTGACGGCCCCTAAAAAGTCTGTAAGAATTATCATACTGGTTTCCAGAGTCAGTTAGAAAAATGAAGTCATTCACAAATGCATGCCATGACATCTAAGAGTTTTCACAGTAATAATTGAGATCAATGGACCAATACAATGCTTAAATTATACTTTGACAAGTTAGATTTGGTTATCTGATTTGCTACACTAAAAAAGTACTTGTTTTTAAGAATCCCAACCTCATGTATCTATCCATGTTCATCCAAAGTTACAGAGAAGCAGTAATAGCAGCAGCAAAGGCAACACCTGCTGAATTCATTTTTAACCCAAATTATTCTTCCACTAAATTGGCTTCTGAACGCCAATATTGTTAATATTGTCCAGTTGCACTTTGAGACTTTCACTGGCAGGATAATTGGGAAGATGTCGGGTGAGGAAGTGCCATCACGTCTCCCTGCTGCACAATCAGGATCGAGTTACCTCACTGCCATAAAGACAACCGTAACCCAGAAGTAGGTCCCTCCTGTGCAATAGAGCTCTGTGTGGAGCAGTAACAGGTATGTGATTCCTCGGTGAGAGAGAGATCTAGAGAGAAAACGGAGGAATCGTTGTCGGTCCCTTCGGAAAACCTCCTGAGAACCCATCGACTATGATCATTATCAGATAACGGTTGAGCCTCCGGTGGCAGGAGAGTAGTTTTGTTGGGTTCAAAACATTGGTGCTCACAATCCATATTGTGAATGGATCAGGTCCAGTCTACATCCAGGACACGGTCAAACACTACATCCCAACCCGAACACTCCGCTCTGCATCTGCCGAACTGCTTGTTCCTGCCAACCCAATAGTAATATTTGGGAGTTACATTACCTGCCTGAGTCCGTCCCGACTGTTCTGCATGATCCTCAGCTCATAGTTTGATCGCTGACCTCTGCTGTTGAATTCAATGTGGCCCGTTAGACCTTCCAATTCTACCTATCCAACACAGAGACAGCAACACGTTAAAAGATCTCACCAAGACTTCCCTCTCGTCAGCACCTACTGTGGGTATGAGGCTATGTTAGAACTACCGGCTCAGTTTCAGCTCTTTGAAAGATGTTTGGATAATGATTGAAGCCGGAGCTGTAATATCTTCAATTTAGGGCAAAACAGATTAGTCACGTCTTCTTTCTCTAAGAGAGAAAGACAAACAGTCTTATATTGAATATCTGTCATATTTAGGTATTCTCAAAGCCCAATCACTGACAGCCTTTTCTCCATAATAGGATAACACATTTTATTCACAGACTGCTCATCCTTCTCTATTGTTTGTCAGCAACTATAATTACAAATATACGTCAGTAAAAACATCTCGCCTCTAAAATAATCAATGAACATTCATCATAATTGAAGCAATAATGACGATCTCAACAAGAAAATAGATTAAAAAACACACAACATAAACATGTGAAAACTACTTTTTGGAAAAAATGGAGTTGGATGTGAGGACGTTTCTGTAATTTATATTAAATGTAAGCAAATGGTAAATTTAGTTTAGCATGAAGACTGAGGAAAGGGAAAAGGCCAGCCGGTCTCAGAGGTCACAGGGGTTATTATTATTATAAATCCCATAGCACTTTTTGTAATTGGAAACATCCCACAAACAATTCTCCCAATGCAAATGCTATTTAGCATTCTCAGCATTTGCAGTTGGTGAAATCACCAAACAAAAGTAGTGTATTCCTGAACACGTGAGATTTGTTTCATGTAAATCTTCGTTGCCGCTGTTTTTTAACCCAATGTTTGGAGGACTTCATCTTTGTTCATCAGAATGTTGAGCTTTGATTTTGAATGTAAATATAAAAGGAATAGGATCCCTAATCGCCCATTAAGAAAAAATAAACAAATATTAGTTAATGAACCTGTCTGGTTAATCTGAATGGAGCGACCTTAACTTAGATTATATTTAACATTCCAATTAGCTCAACAATAACATGCCGGTATAAACGTATATTTCAGACAACATATGGATTTTAAAATGTCAACTAATTTCTTAACAGTGTCATAATCTGATTGAACATTTTACAATGGTTAAACCTTTTGTTACCTTTGGACAGAGCCAGGTGAGTTGTTTGCCCCTTCCAGTCTTTTTTTTCTAAACCGCTCTAACCAGCTGCTGACTGCAGCTTTATTTTAAGTATAGTCAAGTGAGTAGTTTATCTCTAGAAAACCAATAACCACATTTCCCAAAATCTGAAACGATTCCTTAGAGATGATCAGGGCTCCGGCCTTTTGTTCCCGACGTCCAGAAGAGGTCCTTACCATCCTCAGGTAATTCATGAGGCTGGTGCCGTGCTCCCAGATCTTGGATGACTTGCAGGAGAGCTGAGTGGCGCCGACATTCTGGCTACGGTTCAACTCCTGGACCGCCGCCACCACCGCGTATACCGCATCAAAGAGCAGAGCCGAGGAGAGCTGCAGAGGGGGAAGGGGAGCAAGAAGGTGAACGCGTCATACATTCGCACACTGACACACAAACACAGACAGCTCAAAGCACACAAACTGCCACCGTGACATGTGTGCGTGGCTAGCGGTCATGGAGGGGTTAACCCGTCCCTGGAGTGGCGGGGAGATTATTCCATTAGATCATTAGAAGCACTCTGATCTGCTGACAACGTAAAAAACCAACTCTCTCGTTGCCCGTCTCGCGGAGAGACGCTGTCCTTCCCACTCTTATCCCATACGAAGCTGGCACACCCCGACTATTCCAATTACAGCCTGCTTCTCTCAACGACGGCACGCCGGGAGAGGCAGCCTTTCCTCTCTTCAACCCTGCAGCAACAGCCCACTCGTCACTATCACGGCGTCACGCGATGAACATTTGATTAAAATACATTACGCCCTACAAGATAAGGGGAGAATCTGGGCTACAGCGGGATGCATCTTTGTGATGGAGAGAGAAATGAAATTGCCCCTGACGTTTGCTGGCTATGCATGCGGGGAGGGATTGTGACGCACATACAATTTGGAGACCAAAGAGAACCAAAAGTGGCCATTAAACCGCAAACCCACGATGTATTGCAACCTTGAATTGGTAAACGTAATTGTTGGATTGCACATTAAGAGCAACACAGAAAGCCCATGGACTCATTTCAACTGCAAGGTGATGCACTTTAGTTTTGATAAATGAGAAAAGCGTCTCGGTTGCCTAAATCTTTCGTTCTTTTCTTTGTATCTTATTACAAATGCAATAGAAAAGTAGCTAAAATGTGGCAAATGTGGCGGGGTGTCAGCTCATATGTAAATCACAGTGGATTGAAAATTTGTACTGAAAAGAGCCTGATAACAAAAACACAGTACAAAGCAATGCATGGTTTGGCAGCCCCTGTACATCAGCATCAACATCTCCCGACCAGAAGGGACAAGCTACTGTGTTAGGTCCCTCAGTCTAAATCTAGGAGCATCCAAGGGAAGGTTTGCAGTCTTAAAGTCTAAGCTCACAGGTGTTTTTATTCATTGCAGTTTTTAATAAACCCACTATCGGCGATCTTCATTCAGCGTAGCCTTTCCTCTGTCAAGGTATACTCCTTTTGTGTGCCAACGTGAGATGCTTGCGCTATTTCAGGCATTTTTATAGAAAAAATGATATTGTACATTTCAACCGTGGTTCTATTTGATGCTCCACAAACAAATACAGACATACTTTGTGTAACGGATGTTTTAGTGTCATTATGATGTGTGGTTGGGTACCATGATGCTCATTTGAGAAAATAAATATCTTCACACAATTGCAAGATATGTACATGCGGTACGATTTGTCACTTGTCCCATAGAACCTTTTTCCCTTTGAATCCACTAATTAAGCCCGCTGGTTGCATTTTCTCAGGTGACCTTTTGAGATCAGTTAATACATCTTGCTGGTGGTGCACATCTTTATCTTTGAATGCATTGAATGTCTGAGCCCAACAACACGTTTTTAATGCAGTGTTACAAGACTATTCTCAACCTGTTTCACCACCAAGCCTGTGTGAGGCAGAAGGGAGTGATGGTTGTGAGCGTTTCCGTCCTTTCTTTTAACTTCAGAACAATTCATTCATTAATAACTCTTTCTAAATGAATAATTCTTAAAGAAGCTCTATAAATGTGTAGTTTCCTGCACAAAGAGGTTTTTGTTGCTTGTTGTTGTAGTTGGTACTAATTACTACTTTTCTACTATTGTTTTATTGAGACATTGCATTTTCAAATCAAAATACTTTTCTCTCACTTTTTTACTGACTAATGATTTGGTTTCCCTTGAGTTATTAACATAGTATTATGTATTTATTAAAATACATGTGCATATGCATTCATTCTGTAACATTGGTTAGTTTTAAAACTTTCATGATTTAATACTGCTGCAATCGCTGCTATTGAGCTATCTCGTAAACAACAACGGCATTCAGCAATTGCTACAGTTAACTGTATAAATGTCATTGTTGTACATTTCAAAGTAACTTTTGTTTCTAAGTTACTTCAGTATTTTAGTTGAGGAGTTGGACATACAGCAGTAACCTTCAAAGAATAACAATGCCTTTCAGATTTAGAAGAAAAACTAATAAAAAGCTTAATCTTTTTCTATTTCCATCTATTTATTATTTGCAACATTGGTCTTTTCTACTTGTGTGTGTGTGTGTGTGTGTGTGAGAGTACTAACTGGGGTGCCAGCAAAGGGCGCATGGTCACAGTTCTCTTGCCAGGAGCGGTTAAGGCTTAACGTAAAATCCTGGAAGAAGGGATGAGTCTTGTTGAAGACTGAAAAACCGACTATGTTGACTCGGTGGTCCACCACGTCGTCCAGTCGGAGTAAAGAGAATTCCTACAGAGCAAAAGGAGAAGAGGGAGAGAACAACAGACAGAGATTATTAGGTCGAAAGCAGCTGATTTAGCTGAGAGACGTGTCATGTTTATCCACGATCTGCAATAATCGTCTTTA